GTTCTACAAAGAGATTTACGTTTTTTTTCTCTTTTACTCAATTCATTTATAAACTGTTTACAAATTATCAGCCACAGAAAAAGGAATGTACAAAAAATAAAAGAGGTTAGAAAAGAAAGAAAAAAAAGTGTATCTTCTCTCGGTCTTTTTGGTAAGTCTTGTACATTTTTTTTCTACCTGTTCTTTTTTCTCAACAGCAGCAACAGCAAACAACAACAACAACAACAACAACAACAGCAAAAACTACCTGCATATGGTTCGGGTTGGTCACCTTAGAAAAACAAATGATTACTGTTCCGGTTTGTTCCCTATAATTTGACTGTTATCAGCTAATCAATTTTGAGGCTTATCCCCACAAAAACGTACGAAAAAAATATCTGTAGAAAAAAAAAAAGAGCCACCGACAGGTAATAGTTATTCCACTTTTTAGTCAAAAAGATAAAACGAAAATAATGCCAATAATAATATTTTTTTTTTAATCTCTTGTGAGGAAAAATAAACGGAAATGTCTGAAAAATCTCAAAAAAAAAAATTGTTGACTTTATATAAACCGAAAAAAAAGAAATTTTTTTGTTCTCATTTATCGCTAAGTTTTATTTTCTTACAGAAAAATCCAAACTACTTTATATCAGTTTTAGAAAAATTAATTCAAACATTTTTTTTTTCTTTTGTGTTAAGCCACATATCTTCTAATTATTTATTGTTTTGGTTTTCAGTTATTGTACCCCTGCTGTGTTATATCATCAGAGATGATACCAGTAAACCATACTTCAACATTTCGCCAGAAGTCATTCGTTTTCCTTCTATTGTAATTTTAGTTGTTATTCGTTGTTTCCAAATCAACTTTCATTTAATCCCCTCTTCACTTCTTCACTTTTAGTGGTCCTCAAATATCCAAACAGTACATTTCAGCTGTTCACAGTGTTCCACTAAACTGAGTACTTCAACCGGAAGCACCATATGAAACCAGTGATGCTTTTTTGTTTTCTTTTGTTTTTTTTTCCACATTTCCCATAATCGTATTACATAAACACTATCAAAGTTAATTGTTTATGTTGCCAGTTTAACGAGCTAAAAATCTAAGTTTTTCGCAAAAAAAAACAGTCTTATAAAAAGAAAAAAAAATAAATGAAAAAAATTAGTAATGAAAGAGGAAAAAGCAGGTAAACTGATGTAATTTTTAGCAGTCAGCCAAATTTTCTTCTGACCACGTTCAGTGTTGTAGAGCTGTTTTCGAAATAGCATGAAAGACAAAAATTACATCTAGTGAGGAACGGGGGAATATTCAATTATATAGTATTGCTTAAAATTTAAACTGTAAGGGATAGACTGAGCATAGAAATTCTATCACTGATAACTTATTTTTGGTGTCCTAATTATTCTTATACTTTTTTTTTTGCTGTTATTGTTTTCAACTACTTTAGTAGCGGTAATAATAATAAAGCAGCATAAAGAAGAAGATAAAAATTAATATATTATTACGTGGCATATATCAGTTGTCACTGGAATTACGAAAAAAAACCAAAAGATTTTTCTTTTTTGTTTTAGTTTTCGTTTGTTTTTTTCTTCTTCACTTCTTTGATATAATTTTTTGTGGTCACTAAAGAAAGTGTGATTTGCGGGTGAAGCTTTTTTCTTCTGCTTTGATGTTTTAACAGTTGCCATTTTCATTTGCCATTTTACCTCTCAACCTCAAATCGGGCTTTATAACGGCTTAAAAAAACTCTATACGAGAGGGTAATCGGCAGCGCAGTCACTGAACATCACAGACCAACTGATAGGGTTAGTGAAGGTAATTCTGCTGAATTTTTCCTTCTTTCGGCTTGTAATCAGATACAGAATTATTTCTTACTCTTTTCTGGGTATTAGTCTAAAAGTTTATAGAATAAACACAAAAATCTTAATAATTTTAAACGCTTATATTGACAGTGATAAGAGCAATGCTAGTGATAAATAATAACAGTAAAAATAAAAGTAAAAAAAAAGAGTAACATTAATAATAATAACAGTAATATATTTACTGTTTTATGTTACAAATGAAAACAGGTCGTTAATTTCTTCTCTGTTTTTTTTTTTTCTTTTACATCTTTTTTTTTTTAGAACATTTACTTATGTAAATAAACAGAAAAAAAAAGCACATGTTTGAATGATTGATGATGATAGACAATGATAAACAGAAAAACAATAATTATAAAAAACCACTTGAAAATTCTTGAAACATTTTTTTGGGTATACAATAAAAACAGTTTTGTTGTACCGCAATCCAATAAAAGATATAACTTTAAAGATAGCGAAATCTTTAATTTTACATAAATAAATTTTCTTTTTAATATTACAAAAAAAAAAAGTTTTTCTAATTAGAAATAAAAGTTCTGAAGTAATTCATTGTTGTTTAATGTTGGGACTGCAGAGGTTTTTTTTTGTTGTTTTTTGTTTTGCTTTTCTTTTTGAAAAAGTTTATTATCTTAACTTTTTTGAAATGTTTAAATACAGAGAAGTGTAAGATAAAAAAAACTGCTAACAATATACCATAGAATTTAAGTGCTAATAAAAAAAAAAAATTTGTTAGAAATCTTAACTTAGTAAAAATAATATACTTTAAACGATACCGTAGACTGAGTGAAAAAGATTCAAATTTTACCGTATCTGTTATCACAAATTTCTGATATTTGGAAACAGCGATAAGTGTAAATACAACCGTTTCTGTTGACAATTACTAACACATTTAGCACTTTTAAAATTTATTCAACAAAGCGTGAATTAAATTAATTCGTTATTGAAAAATTTTAACAGTTATTGCTTTTTTTTTTTACTATTAACGATTATAACTGTACAGTTCTAAAAAGAACAATATTTTTT